TAAACCTTCAGAGAGACAAAAGATGAAGGACTAAGCATTTGGTGAGGATGAATATGCTGGGAGTGTGTGAAGCTATATTCAGACAAACTAGTCAGAGAGTATATTTTGGAAGCAACATGACATCATGACTTTTGCGTAAACATACACGCCACTTTCAAGTCAAGTGGCGTGTTAAGGTCAATTTATACTTCTGCGTAGGATGGCACAGACGCGTACCATACCGCGTACCCTTCGCCGTAGCCTGACGCGCACCTGACGCAAAGTAACTACACTTCGCGACGACGCGGACCGCAAGATCTGTGATTGGTCGGCTTGGTAGCATCGCATTTCCTCCCAAGCATTTCCGCACGTACCATCTCCTCCAACGTCTTCTCTCGTTTCTGCCTTTTAGTTTTAGTAATTTCACTAAAATTAACTGTTTTTCCACCTCAATAAGCTCCGACTCCAACATGATCCGCTCTCTTTCAGTCACCATTGCTTGTAGTAACATAGCCGCGAGGAATCTAAACACAGCGTAACATTAAAACCCTCTGCCGGCAACTAGCGTTTCGGAGCATTACTGCAGAGCAACGTGCGTAGCCTACGCCGTACACTACGGCGTACCTTCGACGCAGAAGTATAAATTGGCCTTTATCTATACGCATTTTGAGCTATCCACGTGTATGAGTGTATGTCTACGTCATTAAATGTCCCAGTGATTCCGCGTGTATGTACACGACCTTAAATGTCCGAGCGAAACGAAGCAAAATGTAGATCTACATCTGGGGAGCGATATTTTTTTTCCTAGGATGGTAGGGGAAGACTCGTAAATGGTATTAACCCCAGTGACGGGTAGGTTTAGGGACGGGGTTGAGGTAGGTTATATATTTATATATGCACTGCAGTAATGCAACGTTAAGTCAACGGCGTTCATAAACACGCTGAAAAGTGATTATGCGTGTTGATAGCACGCCAAAAATGGAAATACGAATTGGCCATTACATGAGATCAGTCTGTTTGAAGAGAGATTCGTTTGTTAGCAAGTCTGCAGACTTGCACATTATCACTGAAACCACAAGTTCCACACGCTGCATTGTTATCCTGCACTACATCAGAAAGAGACTCTCTTTACTCTGTAATACACTTTCAGACAAACAGAGAGACAGATAGATGAATGATAAAGGTCAGCTAAAGAATGTAAGCGGTGACCTAATTTAATTTTCATGTTTTACATACAACTGTCCATACTACAGACAACTGAAAACACACACAGCATAAATAATCGAAGCATGTATAACAATGTCATTTTCCCTTCATTTGTATTCTTACACAAAAATCTGTGCAACGTACCAAGACATAAACGAGAATGGGAAATATTCACACTCTACAGATATACAGCATACTGATGAGTATGGTATTTAAATCAGATGAATATGAAGAGATGTTTGTCAAAAGACTCCTGAGGTGACATAAACGTTCATATTTACATTCATATTCATCATGTGTTCACCTGCAGCTGCTTCTAGCATTCATATTTTTCTCTTGCATAAACATCAACAAAATAAGGAGCGTGTCAGCTGGCTTCTGGATTAAGATGCGTCCGGTATGAGAGTGTGCGTGTGTACTTGAGGAAAACTGTCTGTCCTTAATCACTAAAAACGGATAAAGATGCCTCCCGGTAGTGGCAAAACAGGGGCCGCTGATGTGTGACTGCGTGTAGGCAAGAATGTCTATGAGATGAGACACTTACTATGCAAAGACAAGCGTGAATAGTGTGATTTCAGATAGGAATTCATAGATCTATTCACAAGCGCTTGTCACAATTCGCCTTTGCAGTCGTGCTTGTCCTTGCATGGCATGTGTAGCATTATATGCTGTTTACTATCAGGCTGGTGGCCTCTAGTTGCCAGGGCAACGCATACAAATAGCAAAAGGTCTTTAATGGGTGATTGAAATGCGACAGCTCACCTAAGCCAACATTATTAATATGTATGTGGAGTATCATCTATGACAAGCACCAAATGTCAGGCGTCTGAGAGTGATCTCGGAAGCTCGTTCCCTGCTGGCCTCGCATTTAACCTCTCGCGGCAGAACTCTGAGGGACGGCAGGGGGGAATAAGCACGGGATTGCAGGCGTAGCGTGCGCACTCTGGGAGCCGTCCAGGGGACGGGATAAAGATCTAAAGCCGAGGCAAATGACGTTAACAGCCAAACATTAATACCCATCAATATGTATGAAGCTGAGCATGTGTAGAACTTGAACTTATGAATTTATGTATTCAAGGATGTATGCATGCATCTATACACGCTTGCAGAATTCATATGCATGGAGATGCGTGTCTGGACACATGTTGGGAAAGGGTCAGTAGCACAGTGGCTTCACAATTTCAATTTTCAGTAACTGAAATAAAACTTTATTTTAAGGCGACATAGTTACAAGTAACATAAATAACAGGGAATTGTGTATTTACTAACCCTAAGTAACTAACCCTAACTTAATTCTATTGTAAGTACATGTGTGGTTAATTAATATTGCTCAGTACTTATTTGAATAAGTACAATGTAATCGCCTTAAAATAAAGTGTAAACTAAAATATAAATAAAAGATGAAAAAATTAAACTTGAAAAATTAACTTGGCAACTAACTGAAAAACACAGTAATAAGGTTACTAAAGCTATATAAAAATGAAAAAAAAAATTTCAAAAACTGAAAATATAAAAATAAAAGCAAATTTAAAATATCAAACTATAATAGTAATAATAATAATTTTTAATAGGGCTGTCAAACGATTAATCGTGATTAATCGCATCCAAAAGTTTGTGTTTACATAATATATGAGGGTGCACTGTGTGTGTGTATATATATATATATATATATAGAGAGAGAGAGAGAGAGAGAGAGAGAGAGAGAGATACACACGCATGCATGCATATTTAAGAAAAAAATGTAAACCTAAAATATTTATATATATAATATAAATTATATATAAATCTATATGCATGAAAATATTTCTTAAATATATACAAGCATGTGTGTGTATTTATGTATATATATATATATATATATATATAAAATAATTATACACCGTGCACCCACATTTATTATGTTTGACAGCCCTAATTTTTAATAATAATTATTTCAACTCAGTATGCTTTCTGAATGATAGATGAGACAGTAATAATAGGGCTGGATAAAAATTTTAAGTCATGCTTTACCCGTGTCTGCTGTCTGAAATAAAAAGTTTGAGTACTGCAAAATAATGGCAAGCAAACAAAAATGTTTTTCTATTAAGATGTTGAGCCATAATTTATCGTTTTATATTATTTTGCATAACGTTACAATAACAGTTTTACACAAGAAATGCAATTTAAGGTTTACTCATCAACACAGATCAGGATTTTGGTGTTAAATATATAGAAAATGAACATAGTTTCATTTTCATAATATACCTAGTTAGAAGGTTCTCATTACTTTCATGTGTTAAAAAAGGGCCATTATTAACTGGAATATCCCCAAATATCTCAGGATAGAATCGTAATCTGTAACAAATTGAGTAAAACGGAAAGTCCATTTTGATATGACTTATCCATCTTACTGATGAAATAGGCAGAAAACACTACATTAATGTGCTTTAAGCCATTGCACTCGTTTGTTTATCACTTCTCTGAGACATCTGTTGGTCTCAGGTAAACGCAATCACACCGGTTACGTGAAAAACGAGCCACAAGCATACTCTCGTCTTTGTGGTAGAACAGCTGCTGCGATCAAGCTCCATCACCCCGGGGCAAAAACAGCAATCTGGCTTCTGTTTGTTGAAAACGGCATGATGGGACATCAGTACTCATCCGATGCTGAATCTGAACAAACACAATTCTTTCTAACTGCCACTGAGCGTTGTCTTAAAGAGTTAAGCCGAGCAAGAGACTTCATCACTCGGATGCAAAGACCAGAAGTGATTTTATTATTTATTCATAGCATCATCAAGATACCAGTTCTCCTCAAAACAGCAGTGGGGAAATATATAGGTAAGCTGCTGCCAACAAGACATGCAAATTAACCTCATTCCTCCCACAGGGATCGGCAGTGATGTTTTGCAGGGCTGCGCATCCTCCACAGCTCTATTAGTAATCCACTGACTTCTTCCACTTAACTTCAGCCGTGAGGGCAAACATTAAATCTTGTGGCATAATGTCGAAATGAGCAGCGAGGCGGAACAAAGTCCTCACAGGTTGAGACTCGATGGAAGAAACAGGTCCACAGATCTTGCCTCAGGGTCAACCATGTTTAATTGTGAACATGCACAATATTATTCATATTTATCAATTCTTGTACCACAGGTTCACAAATAAATATCAACTCTGAGAGGAATAGTCAATATGGAAATGTCAAATCCATTTCTATGGGTGTTTTGAAAAAGCCTGCAATGTTTTAAGAGATAATTACTTTCAAGGTGCATTTTGCTCCAGGGGGCCATTTTACACTATCATAGAAAACATGGTCAAATGTTAGAAAATGTCAAATTAAAGCTGCAACAAGTTGAAAGGCCAAAGGGTGAAGGTGGTTTCAAAACAGTTTTTTACGGCATTTTTTACATTTTATTGAAAAAAAAGTTAAAAATGCGTGTATTTTTGTTTGCTTGTTTAGGTATCTTGACAATATCATAAATCCTTATTAAAATACGATAGCGTTTTTATTTTATTACCTAAGTAAAAACTTGAAGTAGGCTATGTACAGTAGTATAGACATATGTATAGTAGGTAGACAACTCACTCAGGTTTTGACACACACTGTGTTGAGTTAACTACAAAAAAATCAGTTCCACTGCCGTCCTGAACAGCTGCTTTGTAGCAAATAACCATAGTGTGCATCACCACCACATCAATATACCAAGAGCAGGCTGCCTATTCTTTCAGACCAACATCTGTGCGTCCAATACAATACATTTAAGTTCAAATCAAGCAGTTTAGTAACTTTTGCACATAGCGGTTAATCAGATTAAAGGTTATATTGAAGAACTTACCGGTACAGACATCTTGAGCTCCTTCTTTCAATCCACCACGAGCTTGATGCTGATGTTAACGGAGCAGTTTCTTCCCCTCTGACGGTTTTTCAGCAGAAAACATCAATTTGTGTTGTTGGGATTCTCTCGGAGTCCTTCTATTCCATGTTGTCTGTAGTAAGGGTGCAGTCCGAGTCTCGATGGGGTGAGAAGTTTATTATGAATGTTTTAGATGTGTCTCCGCTCCACCTCGCACGAGCAGCGCTGAGCAGTCCTCCCTCCTCTCCGGAGATCTTTTGCTGGGCTAGATAATAAAATGGTTTTTAAAAATGAAACGCTTCTCTTCGTTTTTCCCCCGTACAGCAAGGAATGACTCGCCTTTGGTTTGTCTGTATTGCGGTAGTGTACACTGACACTTCATTGCACAGCTCGCGCGCCCCTCGCTCTCTCCCTATGATGGAATCATCAAGTTCTGTTTAAAGGTACAGTGTCCAGTTACCTCGCTGTGGATAAACACTATGCGCTGTGTATTTAACGTTACATTCGATGTATTTATGCCCGTTTCGTGGTATTGGCCTGTTTAATGATATTGATATACTGTTTACTTTCCCTTGTCTCACTGGGAAACTTTCCCTTGTCTCACTGTGCCATAATGATACATAATTTCCATTAACATAATTCAGTTAAAGGGATAACGTTAGTTCACTTTGAAATTAATGTTTGATATGTTTTAGCTTACCTCAAGGGCATCCAAGATGTAGGTGTCTTTGTTTCCACGGTATTTTCAATTTTGACATTTTTCGGTCAAACCGTTGTTGTCTGTCAGTCATGAGGGTCCACCTCAAAGAGCATGCACAGAGAAGTCCAAATTAAACATGATTTAATGACTCGTGAATGAATACTGATGGCCTAAGACACGAAACGAGCGGTTTGTGTAAGAAAACGAACAGTATTTATATAGTTTTTACCTCTTGTTAACAGCCGTCGAACTGATCTGAATCAGATGTCCAACTGAACCGAACTGAACCGTCTCCAATGTTACTCCGGAAGTGATTGCGTGCGTATGTAGGTCACGCATTGTTTACATGGAGATTTCGGAAGTTTTACCTTTCACTAAACATATTTAGATATATGGAAATTACGATTTCCCGTATATCTATATATGTTTAGTGAAAGGTAAAACTTCCGAAATCTCTGTGTAAACAATGTGTGATAAAAAAATAAATAATAATAATAATAATTTAGATTTTCAGGTAACTTTAATCACTGTGCGTACATTGAAGGCTGTACTCCCACCTTGTCGCTGCTCATACCAGATTTCGGCAATTCTAGATAAGTGGAAAAAGATTGTGATGACACTTGGATGGAAATTTAGCTTTTGACAATGAATGCTATTTCACTCAAATCACAGAGAACATCTCTTTATTGTTGAACAAAAAATGTGGTAACTATCCTCGGAAAATGTCTAAAAAGTTCTGAAAGCCCAATTCACACCGCCAGCGACAAATTCATCCTCATTCGACATATACTTGGAAAAACTACCATATCTGCAGAAATGAGAAGGACTACTGTGTGAATAAAAATATACAGTGAAAGTATATCTTCAGGAGCAATGTACCCATTAACATGATGAAACCACTTGCAAACATTCTAGCATTTGACTTTACATTTACAAGAAACACCATTAATAATGCAGATTGGCCAAAAGATGCTGATATCAACAAAATGTCTGGCCTTTCAAATTAGCTGATGCTGGATGATGTTCTAGGGATGGGGTTACTAACAAAGATTAAGCAAGTCTTCAAAAAAGTTTCAGATTAAACACCAAAAAGCTTTTTAAAAAATCCCTTTAAAGAAAAGCAGATAGAAGTATGTGTTGTGGAGGACAATTAGTTTATAAGCATTCTCATTCCCAATGCTCCCACTGACTATGCCATGAGCACTGTGTGTGAATGGCTTTTAATTATACAGTGCAGCTGTGTGAAGGAAGTCAAAAGTCCCCTTCTAATCTTCAAATGTCTGTTAAATTGGTGTCATGACACTCCCTTCCTTCATCTGCCAACATTTGCCAATGTTCAGAGGGATAAAATACAGGAGAGGAGACCTTCAGAAGGAAATCTTTTTGGTGGGCTGCCAAACCAGTCCAAGGCTGAACTTGCTGCAAAGACAGAGCAATTGGATATTAGCCACGAGCAGGTCCATACAGAGTCTGCATGGGCAGAACTTGCAGATTTGGAACGCCCATCATTCATCAACTTAGACATCCGCCACCCTCTGCTCATTTATTAAAATATTTTGTGTAATTTGATAATGTGGTAATCTCCTTTTTACCACATGACCCATATTTAAAGGAGTAGTTCACTTTAAAAAAAAAAAAAAAAAAACTTTTGCTGCTAATTTACTCACCCCCATGTCATCCAAGATGTCCATGTCATTCTTTCTTCAGTCAAAAATAAATGAAGGTTTTTGATGAAAACATTCCACCATTTTTCTCCATTTATTGCACTTCAATCAATGGGAACCAAACAGTTCAAGGTCCAAAAGACAGTTTCAGTGCAAACTGTTCAAAGGGCTTTAAACGATTTCAGACGATGAATAACCAAATGCCCGCCTTGCTCTGTTCTGCGATGCGCGTTTGTGACGAACTCGTTCATCAAAAAGAATCTTTTCCCGAGTCAACTCATTCATTTCGTTCATTGAATGAACTAAATGACACGAAAAAAGATTTGTTCATTTTGATAAACGAGTTCGAACAGGAGAGTCACGAACAGAGCAAGGCGAGCATTTGAGCTTATAAAACGTAAACTTTGTAAAAAAAAATTTAAAATGAGCGATCGTTTCGCTTGATAAGACCCTTTTTCATCGTATGGAATCGTTTAAAGCCCTTTGAAACTGTCTTTTGGACCTTGAACCGTTTGGTTCCCATTGAAGTCCATTATATGGAGAAAAATCCTGGAATGTTTTCATCAAAAACCTTAATTTCTTTTCGACTGAAGAAAGAAAGGCATGGACATCTTGGATGACATAGGGGTGAGTAAATTATCGGCAAAAGTTTTTTTTAAAAGTGAACGACTCCTTTAAATGCATTTTGCAAGATTGCACATGCAAAATTAGCGCCAAAAAAACAAGCTTGAAATGTAGCCATTATTGACGAATTGGAGAGAAAGAAATACAAGAATGTTTAAACTTTAAAGAACATCAAGTGCTTTTGCAAATGTGCCATAAAAAATGCAGCATACACAAAGGGAGTAAATACCCAGCAGTGTTTTAAAGCGCCTCTTAACTCTGGTGACCTGGTAAGAGGCATTTGGAATATTTTAGCCAGCTGTTATTTTAGATTCTCATCACAGTGATTGTTTATAATTGTCCTCTCAACAGCGCTGTCTATTTTTAAGGTTTCTGCCCCTGTTTGAAGTCATGCACTTGGTGACAGACAGATACACATGCCTGGAGGTAAAGTTTGTGCTATATATACGCAACAGGAATTCCGAGTGGACACCTAAGGCCCTGTCGCTCCAAAAAGGTCTTTTTATATAGAGCACTGCTAGGGTCTACACCTCCTTAACAGCATTGGATCTATGGGTTCATTCGATTGGATGGGCGGCACTTCTATCTTAATCTTCTATCTACACTCTAAAAAAAGCTGGCAATTTTGGGTCAAATATGGACAAACCCAGTCATTGGGTTACATTTTTAAATGACGTTTTTAACCCAATGTTTGAGTTTGTCCATATTTGACCCAAAATTGGGTTAAAACAACCCAGCATTATTAATTTTTTACTAGTGAAAATCACTCAAGAAGTGCACTCAAGAAATGAAGGTAGATAAGATGAAAGAGAGGTGAAATGCAAATACTGAAATACAGAAAAGAAGTCTTGTGAGTGAAATTCAAAGTTGATGATAATGGCAGAGACAATTGCGAAAGGAAAATCAGACTTGTGTCATCAAAATGTCTAAGTATAATGCAAGATGAAAGCATTGGGGAAATGGTAAAAGTGAAAGTGGAAAGGGATGAAGGCATAGTGTTCAGACCCAAGAGAGAGAGTAAAATCAGGAAATCAGGAGAGGACAGGTGCATTTGAATAAAGATGAGGACGACAGGCTCCTCTCCACTCCTGAATACCATACACTTACCATTGACCTGAGTGGAAGGGGGAGGACATGAATAAAAATGAGCGTGGTTACCTCTCTAAACTCCCATGCCTAGAGTGTGTTTATTCACATGGAAAGAGTGATTTGACTTGCGTGCATGTTTAAAGGATTAGTTCATCTGAAAATGAAAATTCAGTCATCATACTCACCCTCGGGCTTTTCTAATCCAGGGGCTTTCAAGCTTCAAAAAGGACACAAAAGCATCATAAAAATATGAAATGTATTTTTATACATCTTGTATGCTTATATTAGAAGTCCTCGGAAGACTACAATAGCATTGAGGAACAGACTGAAGTTATGACATTATTCATTGATAATATTCCCCTGATCCCCGGTAAACTGTAAGTCAGTCAGTGACTCGAACTTGGAATAGAATGTAAACAAATCTTTCAGGTTTTGTAAACTGGATTCATTGAAAAGATCTGACTTAAACAATGATTTGTTCATGAATTGCTTTTCTTATGGAGCGAATATCAGAAAAAAAAATTAAATTTCATTTTATGGCATGTTAAAGGAGTAGTTCACTTTTAAAAAAAAAACTTTTGCTGATAATTGACTCACCCCCATGTCATCCAAGATGTCCATGTCATTCTTTCATCAGTCGAAAAGAAATTAAGGTTTTTGATGAAAACATTCCAGGAGTTTTCTTCATATAATGGACTTCAATGGGAACCAAACGGTTCAAGGTCCAAAAGACAGTTTCAGTGCAAACTGCAAACTGTTCACAGGGCTTTAAACGATTCCAGACGACGAATAAGGGTCTTATCAAGCGAAATGATCACTCATTTAAAAAAAACAAAACAAAAAAAAAAACAAAATGTACATTTTATAAGCTCAAATGGTCGCCTTGCTCTGTACTGCGATGCACGTTTGTGACTCTCCTGTTCGAACTCGTTCATCAAAATGAACGAATCTTTTTCCCAGTCAATTTGTTCGTTGAATGAATCAAATGACTCAGAAAAAGATTCATTCATTTTGATGAACGAGTACTAAGAGTATTTAGGAGTAACGAGTATTTAGTGCAACAGTTTTGTTGCACTAAAACTGTCTTTTGGACCTTGAACCGTTTGGTGCCAACTGAAGTAAAATTATATGGAGAAAAATTATGGAATGTTTTCATCAAAAACCGTAATTTCTTTTCGACTGAAGAAAGAAAGACGTGGATATCTTGGATGACAGGGGGGTGAGTAAATTATCAGCAAAAGTTTTTTCAAAAGTGAACTACTCCTTTAAGTGAGTAAGTAAACCCTTTATTTTTTATCTCTATAAGTACCAGCGATCAACCGGTCCATAAAAACATATATACATAATCCCAAATATATGTACGATATGACAAGGAGGTAGACAGGACAGAAAGACAAGGAATGAGATTTCTACCTAGAATGAACCAGTATATTGGTGTGAAACACAAAGGCCACAGTGCCAGCTTTGAGAACATTGAATTATGTCAGTATCATTGAAATTCCCACCTGCAGAGTCTGATGACTGCACAGGACAACATCAGAGCACAGCGACTCATCTCCATTTGGGAAATAAGTAATGCAGCAGAGAGGCAGGGGACTGCTGTGGGGGTCAGCCATTATAGAAATCTGGATAGATGTGTGGAACATACTGAACGTCCTTCTAAATGGTTGTCGAGCAGCAGGAAATGGCAGTAAACAAACTTTGTGCCCACACAGGCCTACGCACAGGGAGAGGGAAGATTGAATGAAGTATGTAAACAAGACCATTATCTTCAAGTGAAAGGATGAAGTGCCGCCCATCCTATCAAAAGACCCAACATGGTATTTAAGGGAGATTAAGAATTTACATAAAAAACGAACGGTACAGCAAATTAGTCTGAAACATACATAACACATACTTACAAAGCAATAATAATCAAATCACTAATTATCGAACATCATTAGAGGGACACTACAAATATTCCTCTCCATTTGCACTGTTCAAATGTTTGGGTCTGTATTTTTTATTTTTTTTTGTTAAATCTCTTATGCTCACCAATATAATGCATCTTTGCTGAATAAAAGCATTATTTTTGTTTTCCAAACCTGTATTAAAGGAGTAGTTCACTTTTAAAAAAACTTTTGCTGATAATTTACTCACCCCCATGTCATCCAAGATGTCCATGTCTTTCTTTCTTCAGTCGAAAAGAAATTAAGGTTTTTGATGAAAACATTCCAGGATTTTTCTCCATATAATGCACTTCAATGGGAACCAAACGGTTCAAGGTCCAAAAGACAGTTTCAGTACAAACTGCAAACTGTTCAAAGGGCTTTAAACGGTTCCAGACGACTAATAAGGGTCTTATCAAGCGAAACGATCGCTCATTTAAAAAGTTTAAGTTTTATAAGCTCAAATGCTCACCTTGCTCTGTTCTGTGTGACTCTCCTGTTCATCAAAATGAACAAATCTTTTTTCGAGTCAATTCGTTCATGTCGTTAGTTGAATTAACCGAATGACTCGAAAAAAGATTTGTTCATTTTGATGAACGAGTTCGAACAGGAGAGTCAAAAACGTGCGTCACAGAACAGAGCAAGGAGAGCATTTGAGCTTATAAAACTTAAACTTTGTTATTTTTTTAAGACCCTTATTCATTGTCTGGAATCGTTTAAAGCCCTTTGAACAGTTTGCAGTTTGCACTGAAACTGTCATTTGGACCTTGAACCGTTTGGTTCCCACTGAAGTCCATTATATGGAGAAAATCCTGGAATGTTTTCATCAAAAACCTTAATTTCTTTTTGACTGAAGAAAGAAAGACGTGGACATCTTGGATGACATGGGGGTGAGTAAATTATCAGCAAAAGTTTTTTCAAAAGTGAACTACTCCTTTAAAACATTAATTTAGTTTTAAAAGATCTTACATATTATTATAGACCTTATGTAGCCCCGCCCCTTTTCAGCGCTGCGCTCGTTGTCTTTTGACTTCCGGTCTGTATTTTCATAGGTATGAATGAACTGCTCGTAAAAAAATTTCCTGGTCGACATTTGTTAACACATCTGCTTTACAAAGCATATGATAAACATTACAATGCTCATGATAACTTTTGTTAACTCTACAATAAGTAAATCCACTTCACCAGCTAATTACTCCTTTACAGCAATGCCATAGAAATATACAGAGCGACCGCAAACACGGAAGTTCAAAGACAATATTCTAAAGATGAGATGACGGCGCCTTTTCACATCCCCGTGAAAAGGGGAAGGATTCATGCTCGACTCACTAGTGATTCAGAGATCCGTGACTTAAACCCTGCTGATTTCTTTCCTAGATAGAGAGCTTTTTTTAAGCAGCCCAGACAGTGGTGGAGATGGAGCGTTGGGCATCAAGGAAAAGTAAAAGCCAACTCTTAGTGAGGAGGTGGAGCCATTCATTATTAAGTCGGAGTAATTAACAGACAAGACATGGTTCATTTAAAAAGAAAGTGTCCAAACCAACTGACATGATTTATTCCTGTCAAACAGTGAAACACTATTAAAACGACGGCGGGTAATTCCCATACAAATAAATTCAAGACAACACTAAGTATACATGAAGAAAAAACAAAAGACAAATGCGCCCTTCCATTTAACCATCAAATAAAAGAACAATTTTCCTGAATAGGATGGCCGTTAATATTACGAAAAGCCTAACCGTCAGAACAAAGATATGAATTATGCCGAATAATTCAGTTTAAGCTGAAAACCCTTATCTGAGGATCTTAATGAGGTTTTCTTCCCCATTAATGTCACTCTCATTGAATGTTAGGTGTGTCTGACGTACTTCAGCGGATTGTAAAATGGGGTTTCTGAGGAAGACTAACATCTTGAGCAGTTTCACTTTCATGTTGAAGACGACATGCAATATCGGACAAAGGAATTGTAGAAGAAAAAGATGGTGAGCAAACATTTAATTGTGAAGGCAGACCTGTTTTTGCAGGACTGTTACAGGCCAGGGATCTGAAAAAATGTTGAAAAACCGACAGTGTGTGCAGGGCGAATGTGAATATGGGACAGTCTGTGTTGTGATCAGTGAATGTGCTCTTTCCTCTTGTCACCGTTTCATGTTGTTCAGACGGACGCTCTTCTCCAGCTCAAACTGCCGCAAGTCCACTCTCTCTAAGAAGTTCTTCCGCTCCACGTACCTACAGACACATGCAGACGGTGAGGACACGGAGATAATGGTGAAGGAAATAAAGCACACGCACTTGGCAAGAATGACAATGACAAACACCGGTTCTTGCTGTTTCTTGTGTCTGTGCGAGTTCAATGACTGCATATGCTGCTTTCCCATTGTCTCTTGGAACGAATCACAAAAAACGGTGAGTGGGGACAGTGGGGTGTTGGTAAATGTCAGCTATTAAGGCACTCAGGTGGTACAGTGATTTCACACACATATTTTTTTTCGTCATGCTCCCTCCACAATGCTACTTCGTGTCACAAGTAGTTCGCAAATGAGTGGTTGTCCACATTTTGGATGTCTTCCTTATCTGAGGTTTTGAAACATTTACTCAACCCTGGTGTTGTTCCATACTTAGTATGACAGAACTCAAAAGAAGATATTTTGAAGAATGTTTCCATTTTTGTTCATACAATACAATTCAATGGGGTCCAATTTCATTGTATAGATTTAAAAAAGCAACAAGAGATCTTATTTTGTGTTCCACAGAAGAAAGTCAGTCATTCAGGCAATGCCAAAATTTGTCTCAGACAGCAAAATAGTGGCTTTAGTGGCTGTACCCATTAGATGTCGGAGGTTATATGTGCATGTATATAACCTCCCTTATTCATTGCTGATACTCAAGATGAGAGCAGGTGCTGAGAACAAAGAAAATAAAACAGGCTGACATCATTCCTCATAATGGTCTGGGTTCAGGTTCAGGTTGGCTGATGATCAGCAGAGAAGGGCATCTCCTACACAAAGCTTTAAGTGAGGTCTAAATGAATTGGTCTGGAGAGCGGTGTGCACACTAGGAAAACCCTTGGAGCCGAGACTGAACATTTTATTAGATATCATATCACGCATCTACCAATGATGAAAGGAAGACAAGAAAGCAAAAACTGATTGCCTGTGTCTTGTTTGAAGTCCTAATGGGATCTCACAAACAAACACCTACATACTCAAAAAAAAAAAAGAAAAGAAAGAGAAAACATATAGCCTTAAAGGAGAACTAACTCGGCGCAAAATGAACCTTTGGTCTAATAAAACATCGGTACCTTTGGTCTAATAAAACATCGGAATGTAAAGCGTTTCATCTCTAAAAACTGTTTAGCGTATAACGCTAGTATATGGGGGCATATAATAAGAATCGCTAGTTAATACCACTAACAAGGCTCAAAATAGCCCCACACTAACATAATGCAGGGTCCCTACATGCGAAACGAAGCATTGAGAACTTTGTAAGTGTACGGACCGTTTATTAAGAAGATACGTTATAAAGACAGTCCACTTCGTGTATACAGACAGGAGCCATCTTTGGAAAACAGTCTCGACAAGTCGAACCACAAACGCCGTTCATACAGTTCAGCTCACTTGGCACGTCGTTCGTGGTTCGACTTGTTTTCCAAAGATGGCGCCGATAGCGTCATAATATCCCTTCCACTGTTATTTCTCAAAGTTGGGATTAATCACGAGGATCTGGTAAGTGCTACACATAGCCACGAAAAGCTCTTTTCCACATTTATATAGTTACTTATAGCTTGTTCGTTGGTGTTTAGTAATAAAAATAATACTAATACTATGTTTATGAACACAGAATAGCCCTCTTTGAATGGGTAAATATGTAATTTTCCATGAGGAAGAACTTTTAAAATTAAAAAAAAAAATTATATATAGTATCAATAGCACTGAATATTTCATATTTCTATTTTTTATAATTAAGAAACAGTTTATTTTTCATGGTTTGACCCATTTAAGAGCTATGTTTGTTTAAGAGTAACCCAATTAAATTCCGTAAACATTGAGCTTTCTGCCTGCAATTTTTGGTCACATGGGCGCTCCGTTCCCCCTAAATCCCAGCAGAGGGTCACTCAATCCCAGAGTGCTCTGGAAGCTCTGATGCCCGACCAAGCGTTTGCCTCCAGAGACTTGAGACCCTGGGTTTACCAACTGTGTGAGCTCTGACAGATCTGGGTGCATTTATTGTCCTACATTTTGAAAAAGAGAGAACGAAAACAGTCCTCTGGGCATATAGTTTGGCCTAGCGGCCTGCACACTATGCTCTTTTCCAGTCTGTGTGTCCTCCACACCCTTCAGCGGCCCTCCTCCTAAACCACATCCCTCTCAGAGAAACTGAAATATGGAAACAGTGGCACACCATAATTTCTTCTGCTTTATTTTTAAACCCCCAGGCCAGGTTTTTAATTTAGTAACTGTTCCACTCCCTACAACTGTCTGATGGAGAACCAACACAGTTCTTTTCATCTATATATCAGAGAAGAGGAGCATCAGGCTATTTAAAGAAAGCCAGAGCATCACTGCTGTGTGCGCAGTGGGATTTAAAGGAGTAGTTTAAATGACAAAATAGTCACTTGTTTCAACCCAAATTCTGTGTATTGGTGCCTACAATGAAAGTCAATGGGGTCCAAAACAGTAAACCAATTCACTTTCATTGCATGGACCAAAAAAAAAAAATTTTTTTTTCAAAATATATTTTAAGAAAAGAAAGAGTAATACAGGCTTGGGATAACATGAACACAAGTAAATATTGTTTTTGTTTTCGGGTGAACTATCCCTTTATCGCTATTAAAGTAGAGTAGCCATCGAATGCCTAAATGACATCACTGTATATCATCATCCCCTCGGTACAAGATGCAATGACTCTCCTCCCTTGTTTTTACACCAAACGCATCTGGGAGCATTATCCCAGAGGACTGTAGGATGGGTAACTTAGGTGACAGGGTTAGTATAGAGGGGTGTTCACAACTCTGAGGAAAGACAACAACACATTTGATGCACTACTGAGATAATCTATGAATTGCATGAAACCCAAAAGAGACCTCGCAATTACTCACCTCCAGAAACTCTTATTCCGCGATTTCACTTCCTTCTAAAACTCACTATGAATGAAATCTTATTATGACCGTGGGGCAGAGAAACAAACTACGTGTGTGTAGATCTCAATTCTGGTCTCGTTTAATTTTTTGAAGTCTTCTGTGGTCTACAAAACTGATCTCTAGATTACTGGTACTACAGTCGTTCCTGACAGGGAAAGTATACTTAATCTATGAACTTTATTTTCAATCCCTTAAACATAATAATTTGTATCATAATGTTGTAATTTGCCAGAAAAGACCATGTATTTAGGCTTGCGGTGGTAACCCTGGGGATGAGCAAAAATTAGCTTGCTATGTAAAGAAACTAAGCTCCTACTCTACATTATAGAGCGTAAACTTTTGGGTATTAATTATAGATTTGAGATGAACATGTTGTGTTGAGGGCAATCGATGAAGGGTTGTGTCTCTTGGATCAGATATTATCAAACTGAAACCCTCTCTCAGAAATACCATACTTAAAATTAGGGAAGGGAGCGTAAAAACTGCATTTGTAGCCCTCAAACCGTATTCACTTTATAGCGCCTTAATCCTGTAATTGTGGACAAATGTTTGCACAGAGCAGAGGTCTCTGGTGTGATCCTAATTTTTATTTATTATAAATGTTATATCACTGTCTTCGATAAAGTTTTGTCAATTCATTTATGGTGGTATTTTTTATTTTGGAGGTATTTTTGAATTTATTTACTTCAAAAGGCACCATATTTTCTATGTAAATTATGCTTATTTTTTATGTTTTATTTAAAAAAAAAATTAACTACATTAAAAAATCATTCCAATAAGTTCTTAGAGCTAAAACCTAAAGATTAAGTAACTTTGCTGTCACCTGGTGTCTTATTTTGGCTTATTTTAGAACGCTCTAAGTCTAAATTACAGTTTTTCCCATTCATTTCTATGGGTGCCCATTTTTGACCCAAATACAAGATAAAGGAATTTTTCCACCCACTTAACATTGCAGAATTGAGTAAAAAAAAAAAAATGTGTGTGTTCAGGAGGCAAACTTAGGAAAAGTAGCCAAGTCTTGTACCGCTCAGATCAAGGGAATAATTTTTTTTTTTTTTAAATAAATCAAAACTATTTTGCCCACATTTGTCCAGAATACGGTTTTAGGGATAAAATGATTTTACTTTTGCATGATGGTAAAAAAAGGATGAAAATGGAAAATGGACAGTCTGTTCATGTATTCAGAACCGTGTTTCTTGTCAGTTTTCTGTGCTTGTGTAGGAGAGATGTGGGCGAGAATGTGACCTCGCAGTGCAAGTGTCTGCCTGCACACTTCTGATTGGTCAATCAGGAATCAGGATTGGGTTCAAAAGAGTCCACTTGTGACGAAGCATCGAATTAGAATTGTCAAATTTCAATTGGATTTTCCCATTACAAATGTTTTTTTTTTCTGAATAGGAATTTGGGTAAAGCGTCTAATTTGAAAAATTAACATGAATTTCACAATGTCCTAATATGTTGGTTTAATGACAGCAGCGCTTGAGCTGCATGAACTCTTCAAGTTTGTGTCAAACCTGATGATCATGTTCTTCAGCATGATCTGAGAATTATCCTCTTCAATGGAAGAACATCTGACTGTATGTCACAAATGTACTTATTTGATTAGTGAAATAGTACAGAATAATAATTTTCAATTATACAGTACATTTTATTGTTTTTGCATTTTTACTGGTTTTAAACCCCATTTAGTTACACTCTGTTTCAACTCCAGCTCAAACGGGAACTATGATTCAACTGCTCAAATAAAAACAAGAAGTCAATATTCCAAAATGGTATTTGCTTCCTGTAAACACTAGTTTAAACGTTTCGACCCTGGTTTGTATCAGCCTTTTTGCACCATCAGCTTTTGAGTAAAGCTGAAATCCTACTCCTCACCTCCTCCTCAAGATAGCCATCAAAGGCAAGATAAGCAGGCTTAAATGAAGTGCTATTGGCTTAGCTCCCACTCCATTCATTCTGCTGATGTACTGAACACCGTTCCTAGACCAGTCAGCAGGGCAGTGTTACTCTCAAAATTACAGACAAACACACATTTATTTTTTGCTTTTTGTTTTCATCAATAATATCGAAGATGAGAAAGAAAACGTGACGATGGTTCGAACGAAAAAATATGATTGTTTCAAATAACCCAACCATAGTCAATAATGTATATGTAATGTTAAACTGCTTGAGTTTAAAGTTCATGAATTCAAAATTGCCCATACTTTGTTTACTGTTGTGGGTTAGTGTGTAACTCGCAGGTTACTATCATAATGGTTAAGGTTGCAGCAGTAATAGCAAATAAAAATAGTTTTAAAATTCCAATTAGTGTTACACATACTTTTCTAGATCCAATCAGGTGCTAGTTGGAAAAAAAATCCATGCCTGGTCCAAAAAAATCCAAAAAAATATACTATGGAAGTCAATGAGACCAGAAACTGTCTGGTTATTGATATTCTTCTAAATATCAGAAAATCGGCTAGATGGATTCGAAAACGGTAAAACTGTTTAACTCTGAGGGAGTTTAATGAAAAATGAGCAGCAAAATGAGCCTATTTCCAAAAAAAAGTGGAGTATCCCTTTAAAAAAAAAAAAAAAATCTAAATTATTGACTGCAGGGGGACTTTAAAGCAAAAGAGGACAAAGACATTCTTTCTGAAATTCATGTAATTTTAGCTTTTAGTTTACCAAAATTGCTAAGATATCATTTGTAATGGAAAAAGCGGTTTTAGATTAGAAAAAATGTTGAACATTGTATATCTCTTCATTGAGTTCATTCTCAATCGACCAACGAGAGGTGTGTGCGAGCAGACACTTGCAATGCAAGGCCACATATTTAGCACCCACATCCCTCCTACACATGTATGAGCACGTATGCAGAGACAACACAGATCTTTTGACAGAGAAACAGTAATTAGCAGTCTTAGAATTTGGCCAGAACAGAATATACTAACTTTTTTGTACTTTGCAAAATTGCTCATCCCTATTCAACCGCAAAGGTCAGCATGTTAATCAAATGCATGTGCAGCATTTGGTTTTACCCAAAATACATTCATTTCACCGTCCAGTTAACTTCAGTGAATAATTAATGAATTGTAATGTATGATAAAAATGCCAGTGAAATACTATACGCCAGCACGTTGTGGCTTTAAGCACTTAAGACGCTTAATTATATTTATTCAGCTCTGATGAAAATCTCGGAAGCTAGTGTGAGACACTAATGGGAGATAATATGAGATGATGTGTTTGTCTGGGTCACTAATGAGGCTTAAACATACCCTTCTTTGCCTCGATTATGGATTGCCAGCTCGTCTGCGATGCCCTCCTCTGATTTAAAGGCATCCCAGTCCATCTTAGACTTCTCCAAAGTGCTCATCTTCTGCTTTTTGCTCCCGATGCGATTCAGGATGCTCCCCATGCCTGCTGGCCTCTTCACACTAGAGAAAGGAAGATGAACATAATTTGGATCACAATTTTCAAATATTATAAATGGCTGTTCTAACCGGGAAGGGCCAAAACATGTTTTTAAAGGGATAGTTCACTTTGAAATTATTTTTTAGCTTACCTCAAGGGCATCCAAGATGTAGGTGTCTTTGTTTCCACAGTATTTTCAATTTTGATATTTTCAGGTCAAACCGTTCGTGTCCATCAGTCATATAATGGAGGTCTATGGTCACCACCTCAAAGAGCATGCACAGAGAAGTCCAAATTAAACATGATTTAATGAATCGTAAATGTAAGTACACATTGATGGCCTAAGACATGAAATGAGTGGTTAGTGTGAGAAAACAAACAGGATTTATATTGTTTTTACCTCTTGTAACCACAGCCACAAAGCGCCTGCACCCTCAAATCACTTGGACTTGTGGTTACAAGAGGTAAAATCTATATAAATACTGTTCGTTTTCTCACACAAACCGCTCGTTTCGTGTCTTAGGCCATCAATGTGTACTTGCATTTACGAGTCATTAAATCATGTTTAATTTGGACTTCTCTGTGCATGCTCTTTGAGGTGGTGACCATAGACCTTCATTATATGACTGATAGACATGAACGGTTTGACCTAAAAATATCAAAAATTAAAACTACTGCGGAAACAAAGACACCTACATCTTGGATGCCCTTGAGTTAAGCTAAAACATACCAAAAATTTATATTTCAAAGTGAACTATCCCTTTAAGGCTCATTTTTGTTGGATTTTAAAGTGGAAGAAACACAACATGTGCATCATTTTTTTTCCCAATAAATGCAGGAAGATATAAAATGATGATCCAAAGTGGAGGTAGAGGCAATCTTATGTTGGCGATCATACCATGGCTGGTATGTTTCTCGCAACGTGGAACAAAGATGTGTTTTCAACGTAACCAAAGTCAACCTGACACTGAGGTTGTGCTTGGCTGCAGTAATGAAATGTTAAACGATCTGTGGAATGAAAGAGCTGAAGAGTCCAGACCAGCAGCCCTCCCTCTCATATGTGGGTGCCAGGGGGAGTGTGTGTGTGTGTGTGCTGGGGGTCTGCCAGGGGAATAAGGGCCGGCAATAGGACCTTGGGGTGCATTAGAGGGTACGGGGTGTCCAAGGACAGACGGTTTCACGCTCAGGCGAGTCATAGGAGAAAGCCTGCCATGAGGAACGAGAAGGAAAATTGTGTGTACGTGTATGTGTGTACAGAAAGATGGTACAATTGTTTTCAGAATACGAAATTAATGAAAGCCTAAATATAAAAAGTTTGGGTGAGGAGGTGTTGCAATATCGGTTTGAAAATACAGAGAATAAATCACAATGTTATATATATAAATCAGTTGTCTTTCCGTGAAAATAAACAAAGGCTCTGAACTTGCATTACTTCACTGCAGGGTAAAAAGATCACTGTGATCAAGTCGATTTAGCAGGACTTGTGTGTTCAAAACACAGAGGAATGGGGCCACAGCCACACACACATGACTAATGTCTAAAGATCTGACAAAATGCATTAACATCTGTGCGAACAACATTATTCAAGGAGCAAAACAGGAAGGAAAACACATGCAAAGAGGAATGTTTAAACACATCTGCAGGTTTAATTTATTGCCAGTTCAATTGCTAGAAGTAAATAGGTGGACAGGAAATCATTCTTTATAATTACCATTTTCCACTTTTTACAAAAATAGTAAGTTTAAAAATGTTACACAGAATAAAACCTGTATCTTAAGCTTTCAGCCCTTGTACCCTTGCATTTGTTAAATAGTAAATTATTTAAATGCTTTATACATGAATATTATAATGTTTTAATATAATACTGTTCATATAACAGCTGTTTCAGTGCAGATCTTTTCCTACGGTGGCTAACGTCTAGCCAGACAACACACAAAAATAATGTTGGGGAGCAAAAAAAATCAATACTGTAATTATATTCCCTCCACATCCACAAACTTCCAAATTTCAAATGGGGAGACTTGACTGCTGCACGATTAAAGGCGTATTAAAGTCACAAATATTGGCACGAAAAACGATAAGACTTCACAAAAAGATTTGAATATGAGCAAATTAACGATATAAACTACTTCACACTGACTATGTAGTGGTGGAGGCTCATTTCTAAAATTTGGATGGTATTCAATTGTCTTTTTAGGGACTGTGTGAATACTTAAAAATACTATAAAATATAAAAATTTAAAATATATAATATAAAAAAATATATAAAATATATATTATTAATATTATTATTATATTATATTATTAATAATATAAAATTGTATATTACATAAAAAAATATAATATAAAAAATACTTCTAAATATAGGTTTACTTTTCCATATTTACCTGTCCATTCAAAAGCAAGAATTCAAAAATATCAGCCCTGCCCACGGCAGAATCTCATAGGTCAAAAATTATGCTCCATATATCGGAATATTAAACACCGACTATTCTGATCTGATTAGCTAATATTTTTACTTCAAGTGTAAACAGACAAATTATAGTTCGAAAACTGAAATCATTTCATTTCTAACATATCTAGACACATACATCTATATATATTGCATACAACAGATAACATAACAGCTTAGTCAACAGAACCAGTATGTACACACAGAGAGAAACAGGAACACTGCTTAAACCTATTCTGACAGGGAATCAATATACAATCAGGGCTCAACTGATAGTCAATCCTGTGTGCCATGCAGCAGCGTCGATGTGAACGTTGGGCCGGGAGCCAGACCACAACGCTGGGCCAGAATGCTAAACGCGGAGCCAAGGTGACTGTATCCTGCTTCATCAACCATAGTGCTCGAAAAGAGAAAGATGATGTAACAGATATACTGTATACAACACAGTCACAGGCCAATCAAATTCAATATACTGGACTATATGCCAACATGGGCACACACAAACGGGAAAACAGTAGCCCAGAAGTCTGTGAATCTAGTTCTCCCATGACCATAGTCTTGTTATCAAGGCAAACACACACAGTCAACGTGTCCCAGCACTTTGTGGAGGGGGAAGAAAAGGCTGGCGATTCCTTTCAAGACAGGAAGTAGATTCCCCGACCTCATTATTTTGGTTTATGTCATCGTAAGTTCACAGAGTGGCTCATAAACTCTCCATTGAACAGCAGTTGGTTGACAAGTCTCTTCATCTCCACTGAGTAATTATAGCCTTTGTGACATCATAAGAGAAGGCACTACAGGGCATCATGGGAGATGGACGTCAGCTAACTCCGAACGCTTCATCTCTATTATATCAGTAGGCTGTTTGCTCGTACTCATCTAATGGGTTTTTTCCGCCTAAAGCTCGGATACTGGCCTAGTTGCAGACCAGATATTTTTGAGCAAGTGCGGGACTGGGCCTGTGAACCGCAGCTATAAACCCCATGCACACGTCCACCATGAGACCCCAGCACAGCCTCACTGACCCACATTCTGTCTGACAAGCAGAAACTGGAAGAACAGCCAGAGGAGAGACTGCAGGGTTATACAATACACATCAAATCACACAGCGCTCACACACGCATATTTAAACAGATGATGTTAATGTAGCTAATGCTAATGTGTTCACTCGTATCTCCACAATCCAAAATATATACAGTAAAATGGGTCCCACTTTGCATTAAGTGGCTTTAAAGGGTCATTCCACCTCTGGAAAGATGAATATGTATTTTAAATGGGTAATTTATGTAGAAGAAATGTGAAATTATTTTTGAATTCGGAGCTTTCTAGACTGAGAAAAGCCAGAAAATGTATTTTTGGCTTGTGTGGATGAAAGTCACTGACTGTGACTCCTAAAATCTTGTCGTGTCGTGGACGAGACACATGTCAGACTTCACGTTGCTTCCTGACCAGTCATCGCATGCTGTCTTTAACACTAGAAGTGCCAAAACTACTAGAACGGCCACAAACGGTCATTTTGAGCGTTAGATTCAAAACAGTGTTTATTTCGTTGACGAATAATTTTCGTAATTATTTTCGTCAACCACATTTTTTCAAAGACGAAAACGAGACGATAACTAAATAAAAACTAGGTTTGAATGACAAAAACTATGACGAAAATGTCAAATAATAGGACTAGCAGAACTAGCGAACAGCCCATGCAGCAAAACAAACAGCGCAGGATAGGGAAGCGGAGCACCAGGATCATCCGACATGAATGGAAGATCTGGATCCGCCGTGTCTTTTTTTTTTTTAAGTTTACGTAATTTAAGTTTATGTAACTTAATTTATATGAAAAGCATTTTAAATGAAAATACAGACAATTTTAGGAAAAGTCAGGTATCAGCAGGATTTTATTATTTTTTTCAACAAAGTTATTGTAGATATAAAATTCAAAACGGTCAAAATGACCGTTATGGCCGTTCTAGTGTTAACGAGGCGCGTGATGTCATCGAGAAGCAAAACTAGTAGTGAGGTACTTCCGGAAACGAACGTAAACAAACAATGGATGAAGCGGTGAGTGTTATTGGCTGTCCTGTGTTCAGAAAAAAGAAGAAAAAAAAAAAACGACAATTGACACGTTCCTGGATTGCTCGAAGAGGACAGTATGGGCTGTCAATCCTCCAAAGAGAACTGAGGTAAAATATTGTTTTCTCTTTCGTCTCGCCATTTTTGAAAGTTGTGTAACGTTACGGAAAAGCTTGTGCTCCTATTGGTCAACCTCATACATGTGACGGAACCGTCGTGGACGACCGTTAAAAAAATTAAACATGCTAGTCTTTTTGTCGTGATGTCGTGAAGCATCGCAAACGCGACGTAGGTTGTCGCCCACTACGACACACTAAACGAGATGATACGATCGAATCTTGCGTCCCGACGCCCGTTGACGTTTACGAATCCCGACTACACCCTACGTCAAACGGATCGTGCCAAAATCGGGCTAAAATTGTGTAATCTGAACCACTCTCATTCATCTCAATGGTAACTGGTGTAAGGATTACGTGATCTGAAACCAGCCATCATTGCGGGTA